CATGTATGTTTGGAATAAGAAACTAGTAAGCTGGGGTTGGGACAAGCCCAGGCATTGTTTGAAAATTTGAACCGAAATATAGTACTATGCAATCCTATTGACAATAGAGCTTCTGAAATTACTGATTTTAAAACAAACAGATATAATCATGCCAGCTCTGTCCTTGTAATGGGCATCTAGTTTTTGAGAGATTATTTTAAACGTTTTTAAAAGACCAATAATGCGTTCCACATGGATTCGTTTGCAGACCCCCCCCCCCCATAGCAGTCACTTATATATGAACACAATCCTCTGGGACTTATCCCAATCATTGATTTCAGAGTGTTCATGTTCTTATATGTTGAAAAAGTAGCTCCTTGTTCATTTACTTTTTTCTGTTTTTCCATGCCTATTTCTGTAGCATCCAAAATTACCCGCGTGTTAGGAAATTGCCGTTTAAAGTTTGTAGGCATTGTATCAGCTATAATTTCTTTGGATGGCCAAAAGTTGATCTCTTCCAGTTGATAAAACAAGAATGACAGCCACGTGTCAAACACTGTTCGAACAGTTGTCTGGCTAATACAAAAGAGAATGCTTATCATGTGGATGTCCATTCCACATCTCATCTTCACAAGAGTTAGAAATAAACAATTCACTGGATTAAGTATATGACATTTGGGTTCTAGATGATCCACTGCAGGGCCAAGGCACTCATAAAAATAAGAAAAATGTTTAAAATCTCTAAAGGATGTAAGATATTGAATGTCCTTGGCAGATTCTTGGAAAAGTTCAATCCGATAAGGTTCGCGTTTTGCACAGTTTTCAATTTTTAATGCTGATTTTGTCTTGCGTGATATGAGTAGATCTCCATTTATAATATTACACTGTGTCGATTCATTTGTACAATTCTCAGATGTAGGTGAAAAGTGAGTCTCATAAGTGTTAATACCAATTTCTTTTGTGGCACATTCAACTATTTCTTCACTGACGTCTAATACAAAAGAATCTACATGAATGGCACGAGTATCGTCTAGATCTATTGTGTCTTCTTGTTCATTTTTCCACTTCCGTTTTTCAGATGTGGTTCATGCCCGTAGCCAGCTATTTGTAAGGGGGGGCTCGAACCTCCCCCCCCCCGCATCCACCCCCCCAAAAAAAAAATTCCCCATGCTAAACCAAGCCCCTTTGTATTGTAAAGGACAGTGGCAGATCCGGAAGCTAAGAAGGTGGGACCCACACTTCAAGTCAGGAAAAAATATCCTTTTTAGGGCCCTAAAACCAAAATTTGGACCAACAATTAGAAAATCTATGGCACGTTTTTTGAAAATTTGGCCTAACATTAAAATAATAAGGCCCAAAAGGTCAAGTAATGCCCAAAAAGGACCAGTCAAGAGAAAAAATTTGAGGGCCCTAAAACCAAAATTCTGAAAATTTATGGCCCGTTCTTTCAAAATTTGGCCTAAAATTGAAAAATAAGGCCCAAAAAGGTCAAGTTATGCCAAAAAAGGCCAACTTAAGAGGCCCTACAATATATTTGGGCCAACAATTTTTTCTGGGCCCATCCATTGGCCGCATAGAAAACCTTTTAGGGCCCTAGAACCAAAATTTAGAAAATTTATGGCACGTTTTTTGAAAATTTGAAGGGCCAAAAAGGTCAAGTAAAAATGTCAAGTAAAGGCCAACTAAAGAGGCCCTACAATACTTTTGGCCCAACATTTTTTTCTAGGCCCATCCTAGGGCCGCACATAAAATTTTAAGGGCCCTAAAACCAAATTGAAGATTTATGGCCCGTTTTTGAAAATTTAGCCTAAAATTGAAAAATAAGGCCCAAAAAGGTCAAGTAAAGGCCAACTAAAGAGGCCCTACAATATTTTTGGTCCAACATTTTTTTCTTGGCCCATCCTAGGGCTATGTTTAACAAAACACAAAGGACGATCATAAAAAAAGAAGGAAAGGGGCACAAATATGGGGCCAACTTTTGAAAAATAATGCCCAAATTCGAAAAACAATGAACAGTAATGCCAGTTTTAAAATCTTAATTGCCCAGTGAATGTGGGGAAGAGCAAGTTTTTCTTCAAGGAAGCAAAAATGTAGGTCCACATTTTTTCAGGAGATATCAGGGGGGGGGGCTCGTCCGAGCCTCCAGAGCCCCCCCTGGCTACGGGCCTGTGGTTCGTTGTCGTTTTTGTAGATCAAAATGCAATAAGTTGGAAGTTGGAACTGCATTGGCTTTTAATCGGAGTCGGGTACCTGGAAAGTAAAAATGTTATAAATAAATAACATTTTGTTTACGTACATGTACAGTATGATGACACTATTAATTTTGTCTGGATCTGATTCTTACTCTTATTGGTTAAACGAAAGACATGCTGTTGTAATAACATGTTTTGTTTCATATCATTGAAACATTCATTTGATATGAGTATAAATTGCACTTTCAATAAACACATAGAAATGAGTCTCCGAAAAATTACATTTGAAAAAATGATAACCCAGTGAGTAGCATTTCAGAATTACAATACTTGAAGTAAGTATTTGAGTACTTGAAGCATAAATCTCAGAGACGGTAACAAGAGTTCACACCCCACCCCCCCCCCCCCCATCACACACACACACTCACTGGTAGATTTGAGTTGGGGAACCCTTGTTCTTGCCAAAGCAGTCTATCTCAAGCCCAAAATAAATGAAGCAACTGAGCAATTGTGAATCAAGATGAAATAGCATGCAGTAGGACATTGTTAGCCCGGGTTGTAAATTACTGTACAGGCCCGTGTACAGGTGTAAATTTGGTCCAATAATAACAGGGCATATTATCACCCACTCTGAACTTCGGGTCTGATATACTTTCGTGTTTTTTTTCTTTATTAAAATATAATATTTATTTGTTTTAATAAATTATACATATATAATGCGCCATCTTACCTTGCTCTGGCTCACAATAGTCACTCGGAACAAAATGAGTTCTGCAGACGATATTATTCTTCGTAGGAGTTTCCACGTCTGTCTACCTCTTCCTATCCCTCTGCAGCAACGGCGAACCCACTCTTTTTTCAAATTTTTATCTTTCGGAAATAGATGCCCCCCTAATCTGTTATTACATCCAAAAACTGAACATTGAGAAGGCATTTAGTGAAATAAAGAATAATATATGGATTTTTCTGAAATTTGGGAATATTTGTATTTCCCACCGGAAGTACGTTGTGACCGATCGCACTGTCGCACCACCTATTGCCAACTATTCCGCGAAACACCATTGGATTCCTCTTTTAGATCAAATATTATCCAAATTGAAGGACTTGTTACATTATATTATTACTAAGAACCCCTGGCACTATATAACTGCAAAGTTTGGGGTATGTAGGTTGGAAAATAAAAAAGTTATAGTGTCTTGAAAAAAAGTGGCATTTTTTTGGCTCACCGTGTATATAGCACTCTTGGAGGTGTAATGGCAATTAATACCATATAATGATTATAAACTGCGTAGTTCTTGTTTTTTCCAATATTTGCATTCCAATGCCTCCAGTTCCATTACCAAGTAATCCATTAAAGGATTAAAAACATTAAATATTTTACTGTTACTCTTTTACATAATTTTAATTTAAGCTGAATTAATGAATCTTCATCATCATTCAATATTAAAATTAGGTATAGAGCACTCTAGGAGGTTACGTTGTACTTAGTAATGGCAATTTTATACCATATAATGATTAGGAATAAAACTGCGTAAGTCCATTTTTTGTATTATCAAGTAATCAATTAAAGGATGTTGTCACATTACCAAAAGTTGACTGTATCCTTGTAAACTATAAACTATAACCTTTTAACTATAAATAAATCAACATTGTAAACTTCAATTAAGTTTTCATCTTATTTAGTTCTGTTGGTGTATAAAAAAATCTGTAAAGCTCATCTATTCTTGACTTCTATTTTGTAAATGAAGGTACAATTGCACAGAATGAAACTGCTACAAAGATTCTCTTGAAAAATGAGCTTTCTGGCATTTTTGTCGAAGCATTATACATGTGAAAGCTGATAGGGAAATTAAAAAATTGTCAAAATCTATTTTCAGATCTCCTGTTTCATCATGGGCTTTCTCTTAAAAAGCCCATGGTTTTAATTACTGTGATCAATATACATTAGTTCTTTCCGTAAAATTCACTTTATTTAATTCTTAACTCTATTCAGGTGTTCAATACAAATATTTTGCATCAACATGTTAATTACCAGGGTACCAGCAGATGTTATTAATTGACAACATTTAAGTCTTATTTCATATTCTTGCTCTAATTGCATACTAGCCTGCAGGCATAAAATATGGGATGAGTTTTTAATCCTTCAAAAAATAGTTGTTTCTGGATCGTCGATTGAAGTTCTATAAAATAAACATTTGCAAATACACTGGATGAATAATTTACACAAATTTTCACGAACATTTCGATATTTATTGGATAAAATATATCCATGTATATACATGTATTTGCTTCTAATTTATACAACCAACATGTAATGAATGAGGCTATAGTGACAAAAACACAACTTAGCACAGGTCTTGGATGGTTAAACTCTGAGAGGAAAAAAGAATAATAGACAATTCAAAGTTCGTCCAGGAACCGATATAGACTAACAATAACTATTATATTATTGACGCAAATAAATAATACATATACATATATACAATAAATTGCATGCAATAAATGAATAAATGATAACCAATAACAATAAAAATCACATAGAGTTTCAACAGAATTTCTATCGAGGTATCAATTTGTTAATGACAATAGTCCCATGACTCAATAAATTGATATCCCCACTGTTCAACAATAAAGACATTTTTCCAGAATTTACCATTAGATTTATAATTTGTGATTGAATGGGGACTATAAAATTCTGTGAAACAAGAGCAAAGATTACGTTCAGAATTATCTTTGAAGCTGAAATTTTCACTGGATAATCTTTATCTTAGAAGCTGAAATTTATATTCTATAATTTCTATAATTTCAGTGTATAATTTCAGTAAAGAAGAGTTATCATGGAAGAAAATATTTTAATTAAAAAGTTTGCGACTGTTTCAAATGAGGCCCTAAATACAAAAGCACAACTTGAAAATGGGGATGCCGGTAGCATTAAGGACCATACAATGAGAAAGTGCAAAGCATGTATGGACAGTGACCATGGCATATGTACGCTTGAATTTAAGGAACAGCAATCTATACTTTTTGAGTAAGTTTTATTAAACTAAAATTAGAGTAAGTTATTATATTAAATTAAAAATATGTTTAAAAACATAAAGTAGTACCATACATGGTGATGTGTTTTGTGTATAATGTATGTTGTGTATATTGTATGATGTGTATATTGTATGTTGTGTATATTGTATGTTGTATATTTTGTATGTTGTGTATAATGTATATTGTGTATATTTTATGTTGTGTATATTGTATGTTGTGTATACGAGGGGTGATCCAAAAGTCTTGGACGCCCTGCTCTAATTTTGTTGGTTTTTGATAAAATTACTTTAAACTTTCCAATAATAAAGACCAACAACCAAACTACTTTGTGTGTTAATTTCATGGAGAAATTATATATTTGATGTAGTTTTCTAGATAGTTTTTAATGTAGGGACCCTGCCACCCGGAACGGTATACGCACATGACAACTTTCAGCCTTAAATGTTCCCGCCATTTCACTTGTTTCACAAGTCTTGACCACTATCTTTCTTTGAATTTTGAATGTTAAACCATGTTAGTTTACTTCCTTTGTTATTAGGCAATCAATTAATTGTGTTTTGAATATCATGGCATATATGACAATGGCTGTATATGTCAAATTCTAAGAAAATGACATCAGACAAGCAACCCTCATTCTGGTATCATTTTTGCTCCAAGATGGCTGCTGAAATGGAGAACATGAAAGAAATCAAAGTGGAATAAAGTATACTACAAGATATTCTCACTTTTATTGACCTTGAGCAGCTACCATATGCACGATATAGTCTAGATATGGCTCTGTGCGATTTTCTTCCATTTCTGAAGTTGAAAGAAGGGTTGGAAGAAAATGTTTTTTACTCATTGGATGAGGTTTAGAGTGGCACTCCAGCAGCATTTGTATCACATAAGCAATGGCGGTTTCATAAATGTCTTTCATTCATTGGTAAAGCGGTATGAAAAATGTGTTCAAATTCGTGGAAAATATGTTGAAAAGTAGGTCTTAATACGTGAAAATGATGATGGTAGATGACACTCAGATTGAAAATCGGAAATTTTCTCATATCATGAATGGTGTTAGGTTATGCACCTGCACCTAAAGTATTTGCCATATTATAACAGTTGTGACGTGATTTATTATATTCAAATACCGTTCCGGGTGGCTGCGACCCGGTATTAAAAACTATTTAGAAAAGTAGCTAAAATATATTATTTTCTGTTGAAACTTATACACAAAGTTGTTAAGATGTTGATCTTTATTATCTGAAAGTTTCATGTAATTATATTAGAAAATAGCAAAGTTAGAGCGTGGCGTCCAAGACTTTTGGATCACCCCTCGTATTGTATGTTGTGTATATTGTATGATGAGTATATTGTATGTTGTGTATATTGTATGTTGTATATATTGTATGCTGTGTATATTGTATGTTGTGTATATTGTATGTTGTATATATTGTATGTTGTGTATAATGTATATTGTGTATATTTTATGTTGTGTATATTGTATGTTGTGTATATTGTATGTTATATATATTGTATGCTGTGTATATTATATGTTGTGTATATTGTATATTGTATATATTGTATGTTGTGTATATTGTATATCGTGTATATTTTATGTTGTGTATATTGTATGCTGTGTATATTGTATGTGGTGTATATTGTATGTTGTGTATATTGTATGTCGTGTATATTGTATGCTGTGTATATTGTATGTTGTGTATATTGTATGTTGTGTATATAGAATGTTGTGTATATTGTATGTTGTCTATTGTCTATTGTATGTTGTCTATTGTCTATTGTATGTTGTCTATATTGTATGTTGTGCATATTTTCATGAGATATGTTTTATTTTTCCAGTTTTGATGGAGTACAAAGCCTTGGTTTAAAGCCAGATGAATCCTGCTTCTCTATCTATCTATATGACAAAGATGACGAATCAACCCAAATGAAAATCAAAGAGAAATATCCTCAGCATAAGTTTAACTTTCTAGCAGCTCTGACAACAAAGTCTTTTTCATTGGGACACATAGGAATAGAAGAAAAAATTGGCACACCAACAATGGGCACCCTAGGTGGGCACATCAGGTTAAATTCAGACATATATGGATTGACATGTCATCACGTTGTAAAGGATGCGTCTCATGGACAGAACGTTGGAGTATATAAAAAAGAACAAGCTGGATTAACATGGACCCCAATTGGTACATTGGAATGTTCCCTTGCATTTGATCCTCATGAAAGACAAGTGGAAACATACGATATTGCACTTATTAAGATGACACAATCTCACAATCAGCAACCTGATGACTGCAGAAGTTGTGAAATGGCAACAATAGATGATTTGAAACATCGAAGAGATGAAATTCAAGGTAAAATTATACTTCAGCCTGTTTAAATTAGTAGATTGATGTGGTGCTTGACCACCCATCCAGCTACACACCTAGAAGCACAAGATGATAACAATATGGCACATTCTGAAATTTCTGAAAACATGAAGTCAAAATGGACATAGATGGGGTATTCAATAGTGTTGTCGCGATGTGCCATAATCATACATCGATGCATCGGCAATTTTCAGTAGTAAACATCGATGCACATCGCGATGTACATCGAGAAAAAGTCTGAGAAAAGTGCACTGAAATACCGAACGCTAATGCACTAAAATACTGAAAAGAACAAATTAAAAAGAGTACGCTGGTACATCCGGGAACTTCTAGTAACGGTGAAATGAAAGTAAAGTAAATGTTTTATAGATTAATGGTTCATTTCGACTAGCTAAAATAGTTTAAAGCGAAAAAATATCAGAAAACATTGGAAAATGAAATAAGACATGAGAAAGGGAAGCGATTTGCGTCAAAATAAGATAAGAAAGGGTGATATTTAGCACAGCTTTGGCGATGTATACTGTATAAGTGGTAATTTTGCCCAATCATTTAATTTGCCTATTTCCTAATTCTTGCCAGGTTCGGAAAATTAAATGTCGGAAATATTGTCTTTATAATGTTATCCAATGGGAGATTTCTTGTCATTAGGAAAATTAAAATTATGAAAATGATGAAATTTGACCATTCGGAAAATTAACCACTCGGATTAAATACCACTTATACAGTATCGCGATGTATCGATTAATCGCGACAACACTAGTATTCAAACACACAGGTTCCCATCAACATGTTTAAAATATGATTTATTCAATGTTTTGTAATATATTATATTATTTTAGAAATTGGTGACATAAAAGTGCAGAAAAAAGGATCTATGACTGGTGAAACAGAAAGTATAGTAGCACAACTTGATTTCTCCGGCAAGATAACTTACAAAGAAAATGGCAAGGATAAATGCGCTGTGCTTTTAAAAGCCATTCAGATAAAGAATGATGGCCAAACGCCCTTTGCTAAACAAGGCGATAGTGGATCAATTGTATACCATCGTGATGAGAGTAAAAAATTAGTCATTGGGATGTTCTATGCTCTCGAAACAACTAGAGAAGGAGAGAAGTTTGCTTATGCTTTCCCATTGCAGAATGCTTTTGAGAAGTTAAAGGGTTTGTACCCAGACATTTTGGGAGATGCTACATTTGGACCAAATGGAAATGTTAAGTTTACATGCCATGGTGAGATATGCCAAGAGGCTATGACAATATAGACAACATAGACATAGTATGATGAAGAGCCTTATGCAAATTGTGTGATATAAATAATAAATAAGATTATACATATATTATATATTTGCTCAAACTGTTGAGTGTATACTAGAGTCAGTATTTAAATTTTAGACAGTGTTTGCTTGCTAATAAAATAAAACATATTTATTTATTTATAGATGGCAGCACGGATCGTTTGATTGATTGTACCCTGTTATATGATTTGTTGAAATTGTAAGTCACTACTAATGTCATCCGCTATTGATGCTAATAAATCTATTTATCTATATATAATTGTTACTTTTTTGTTTTCTATTGCTGTTTCAAACTAAATTTTTTAATAGCTACCAATTCAATTCATTAACAATTTAAACAAGATATGCTAATTGCAAATACAAACTTGATAAATGACCGTGTACACTACATAATACAAAAACACAAATGTGTACAAAATGTCCCCACCTATGGGTGATCCCGTCAAATGGTTATCCTAAAAATGAGTAGACAAGACTTTACCGACACAATTTGAGGACGGAAAATCCAAAATGGCCACCTTAAAATTTACCCAGAATGCCAAAAAATTAGTCAGTTCTAGATTTTCATACTAAAAACCACCCCTGAAAATTTGAAATTGATCCGTCACACAGTTAACCAGAAAACATGTAAACAAGACTTTACAGACAAGATTTGAGGACAGAAAATCCAAAATGGCTGCCTTGACATTTATCCAGAATCCCAAAAAACTAATCAGATCTAGATTTTCATACTGAGAATCATCCGTGAAAATTTGAAATTGATCTACCAAACGGGTCACCTGAAAATGCGTAGACAAGATTTTACAGACAAGATTTTAGGACAGAAAATCCAAAATGGCTGCCTTGACATTTACCTAGAATGCCCAAAAACTAATCAGATCTAGATTTTCATACTAAAAATCATCCCTGAAAATCTGAAATTGATCTACCAAACGGTTCACCTGAAAACGCGTAGACAAGACTTTACAGACAAGATTTTAGGATGGAAAAATGGCCAAAATGGCCGACAATAAAAAAGTGATTATGAGTTTTTGCTGATTTCTTTTTACAAAATTATCACATATAACTACTGTTAACAATAACATAGGCTTTTACAACAAAGTACACCTGAAATTATTTATAAAGCTACTAAATAGTTAAAGAATGAAAACTGAAAAACACCATTCAATATGATACAAAGTATTATCGTGCGCTAACTTTTCTTAAAACATTCAAAATGGCTGACATGACTGAGCTAACAGGTCCAAAACCTAGTCAGATCTAGAATGAAGTAGGCTGAACAAGGTGTTAAAGTTTTAAAAGCAACTGTGAAGCCGTTTTTCTTAAAGTTTGCAGACAAGAATTTTAGCATTTGACTTCAAAATGGCCGACAGGAAGTAGGTATCGAGTTAATGTTTTTTCATCCACATCTGTATGCACTCATAAGTTATCTCTGAAAATTTGACAGTGACATCTGTAGCGGTTTTTGAGAAAACTGCCGGACATACGGACGGACAGACAGACGGACGGATGGATGGACGGACGGCTTTCCTATATCCCTCTTGAACTTCGTTCGGTGGGATAATGATTAAATAGTGTATGCAATGCCCTTTTCTCAGTTAAGAACTATTTTTTTATTTATAATATGACTTCAATGGAAACATCTCCATGTGTATTTGAGGATTGCTTTCAACATTTTACACTCTCTATTTCTTTATTTCTTTTAAAAGAGACAAGAGTCTCAAATGTTTTTTCAGAAAAATTAAAGACATTCATTTCAGACAATAAGAAGTGGACAAACCAAATCTGGATAACATAGTATGAGATGAATATATAAATTATAGTGGTTTAAACTTTTCTTGTGTGTATAATTGATGAAAATATGTATGTTTTGCAGCAATACCAACTTGAGGATGGAAATGTTTCGACTGCTGTGTATTGTGGTATTTATAAATCAAGTTACATCCCAACCGATGACTGAGGATCCTGTCTGTTCAGAGCTCTGCTTTTGTAATGGTGTTTTCAATACAGTTTGTGAGTGTAATTCGAAATATGAAAGTTACCCACATATAAACATAAGTACAATTCTAATTTGTGTTCCGAGCAGTGTAAAGAATCTCGATATTCACAAGTACAACTTTGGAACTGTTTCAAATGGATCTTTTCGACATTTACTGAAGCTAGAACATTTAAATATGACTGACTGTAATGTTACATTTATTGAGCCTAACGCATTTCAAGGAATTAACGTACTATCTGAACTTTTTTTAATAGACTTGGCCAAGGATAGCCCTGGTTTATCTTGCCTTAGCTATCATATACTACAGCACTGCCCATTGATATCAACATTGGCTATTGGGAAAATTACAAGTATAGAAAATAATGCTTTTGAGGCTATTCCACAATTGGAAAAATTAGAAGTAAAACAAAAACATCTGGCCGAATTTTATGAAGCATTTAGGCCACTTAGATCCCTAGACCCTCTTTATCTACAGAATATTAACTTAGAAAAAATTCCAGATTTCATTCTTTCTTACCTACCTAAATTACGACTTCTATACCTTTCAAACAAACAAATATCAAACATGACATTTGCAGGAAATATACCAAAATTGGAATACCTGACAGTTAAGACTAGAAGGTAACAATATCACAGCAATAACAAGAGATGAGATGTCGCAGTTTAAAAACGCATCAATGTTGTCTTTTTTTCTAAATGACAATGATATAAGACAAATTGATCCAAATCTTTTTTGCGACATTGAACATGTCAGAACTTTGGCATTTGGAAGGAACAGGAACTTTGGGAGTGAAAACTTTATCACACTTATAAAAAGTCTACAGTATAAACCAGTACGTGTTATGAGTTTTGTATCATGTGGCATTTTTATCGAAAAGTTCCATGGATCTATTTTAAGTCCTCTTAATGAGTCCAACTTGCTTGAATTGAACTTGGAAGAAAATACAATAGAAACCTTGATGAATGATGCATTTAAATATGTTTCAACACTCTGGGTCTTGCAGATCTCTAACTTCATGCATATATTTCCTGGAACATTAAGTTCCCTTAAAAAGCTAACATATCTAACTCTTCGAGATATGCCATTACCCCGGCGAAATGATATTCTTGTGATATGAATATTCATGAATTATTCATGAATATTCAGGTGTGATGAATATTGTAATATCGAGATAAATTGTGAAGAATAAAGATTTAACCATATTCTTGTATTTTTGAAGAATAATAAAGAATAATTTATGTTCTTGAATATTCTTCAAATTCTATGGTGAATAATTGAAGAAAAATAAAGAATGTTTCATGTTCTTCAAAATACTTCATATTTTCACCACCCTGAATGAAGAATATTTGAATAATAATGAATAACATTTTCTATTTCTTGAAATCTTGGAAATTCTTCATATTTTCACCATGTTGTTTAAGGAATGAGAGAATAATAATGAATAACTAAAATATTCTCAGATATTCTTCATTTTTTCACCACTTCATTTGAAGGATATTCGAAGAATAATAAAGAATATTTTGTATTGTTGGATATCCTGAAAATTCTTCATATTTTCACCACCTTGTTTAAAGGATATTTGAATAATAGTGAAGAACTTCTATGTTCTTAGATATTCTTCAATTTTTCATTACCTCATTTGAAGAATATTTGAAGAATTATGAAGAACATTTTGTAGTTATGGTATTCTTGGAGATTCTTTATATTTTCATTAACTTGTTTGAAGGATATTTGAATAATAATGAGGAACTACAATGTTCTCAGATATTCTTCACATTTTCACCACCTCATTTGAAGAATATCTGAAGAATAATAAAGAACATTTTGTATTGTTCGATATCCTGAAAATTCTTCATATTTTCACCACCTTGTTTAAAGGATATTTGAATAATAGTGAAGAACTTCTATGTTCTTAGATATTCTTTAATTTTTCACCACCTTATTTGAAGAATATTTGTTGAATAATAAAGAACATTTTGTACTACTGGTAATCTTGGAAATCCTTCATATTTTCACCATGTTATTTAAAGGATATTTGAATAATAATGACGAACTTATGTGTTCTTAGATATTCTTCAATTTTTCACCAGCTTATTTGAAGAATATCTTAAGAATAACAAAGAACATTTTGAATTATTGGTAATCTTGGAAATTCTTCTTATTTTCACCTACTTCTTTGAAGGATATTTGAATAATAATGAAGAACTAAAAAATATGTTCTCAGATATTCTTCACTTTTTCACCACATGTTTCCTACATGTTTCTTTATTTAAAAATCTTCAAGAAAGATGTTTAAATAAAGAAACATGTAGGAAGAATTTCTCTGCTTTTATTTCAAATTATTTTATTATATTTAGTATGTACACTAAGAATTTTGACTTTTATACATATTATTATTATATATATATATATAAATTCAAGAATTATCTTCAGAATAACAGGAATTCTGAATTATAGTTCAAAAAGTATTTAAGTATATTGTAAGAAATTGTATTTGAATCCAACAGCAACATACTAGTATGTTATAGTATGTTTTATTACATAAAATTGTTATTTACCTAGGTTCAAGAACGCTATGTACTAGGTTTAAGAACACTTACAGAATTTATTCAAAATAAAACATTATTTTGTATTAAAGATACAAATTATTTTACTGTGTATTTAATATTCAATATATATTCATCCTGGCAACACTTGCAGAGCTTTTTCAGAATAAAGTGAAATATCTAAGTCCTGGAAAATATTCTACAAATATTCTAATATTCAAGAATTATGATTATTGTCAATGCATAAGAACTTTATAAAAGTCAATTTCATGTGAATATTATGTTCAATATGGTGTAAGGAACACAATGGAAAATATTTCAGTTATCGCCCGAACAGATGCTTTATTTGAAAACGGAGCGTCCAATGCCATTAGGCATTGCTAGAACATACATTTGCATATTTTCTCCACACTGAACTAAAACAAGTTTTCTCTTTAGCTCACTTATGT